GCATCTTTCATGTAACTTTAATAACCCTTGTGTAATATAGGACTATAAACCCTTTAAACCAAAAACAAACCCTGCCTTTGGGGCCATGTTTCAAAAACCCGTTATAAAATCGGGTGGGTTGCCTTCTTTTTAAATCAGGGTTCAGTGATGCCACATTGGTTTTTTGCCCAGTTCATCAAATTAATCCAATCATTTGAATAAACGATGTCCCAAATTTGGGGGATTTTTTGTTGTCGAACACGAACAACACTGGAAAAAGTAAAACTTTTTACCGGTCTATTCGTCTCCCTTGGAGGTAAATATTTTTTTAGTCCCCACTGTTGTGTTCTGTAATTAGTAAAGAGGTTGTTGTACTGGGGAAAATTTTCGACAATAAAAAAAATACCAGTTTTGCACGTGTATTTTTCCCGGGGGCCGGGGGGGGGGTTGACCCCAAAACCCTCTCCGGGATACTCCATAACTGAAAGGTTTCTCAGTTGGGGTTGTACGCTTTTTTGGTCAGTGTTCAAAAGATCAACTCTTACCAGGATTTTTGTGGCAATGTTGTATTTCCCTGGAGTTTCCTGGAGGGGTTTCGGGGGTCAACCCCCGCTGCCGGTCTGAGCCCGGGTTTCTGGTGGATCGGGGTTTTGAAAATAGGCTGTTATGGGGCCGCAACAAGCGACGTACAAAACCACAGCCGGTTTAGTGGGTACTGCTTTAGGGTGCCCACTGCCTTTTTGAAAACAGCCAGGTGTTTTTGGAAACCCCCCCTTATGTATGCGGGAGGCAATTGAACAGTTTTGGGGCCCCCAGACACTTTTTTGTGTTGTCTCTCAGTGTACTCGTGGGCCCCTGATATTGGAAGTTCCACCACCATAATGATTGAAACTTACTTACTAATGTCCCCCTCCCCTTCTCTTTTAGGCTGCTGGAGCGGACTAAATTAACTAAACTCGGGGTACTAGACTTGACGGTAACCAGCTGCACCACCCACAAGGACCACCCCCTCTGAAAGGGAATTACTGAATAATTAATTTACTCATATTAAGTGAGAAAAATTTGAAAACTTTTTTTATGTCATTGAAGTAAACTCAATTTTAGAGATGCACTGCTACTGCAGTGCATCTCTACTTCCCGAGTTTCCTAGCAACTCTCTCTATTCCTGAGTTTCCTAGAACTCTCTCTACTCCTGATTTCCTGCAACTCTCTTCTTCCTGGTTTCTAGAATTCTCTATTCCTAGTTCCCTTTGAACTTCTTACTTCCTGGTTCTCCTGAACTCTCTCTTTCTTCCTGAGTTCTCCTACAATTCTCTATTCTGAGTTCTCCTAGCAATCTCTTACTTCCGAGTTCTCTAGCAAAATCTCTTACTTCCGGTTTTCCCGCAACTCTTTATTTGAGTTTCCCAGCAACCCTTCTCTCTTCCTGGTTCTCCTAGCAACTTTTCTCTTCCTGAGTTTCCTAGCAAATCTCCTCTTCCTGAGTTTTCCTAGCAAATCTCTCTACTTCCTGAGTTTTCCCAGCAACCTCTTTCTTCCCGGTTCTCCCGAACTCTCTCTACTTCCTGAGTTCTCCTAGCAACTCTCTTATTCCTGGTTCTCCCAGCAACTTCCCCTACTTCCCGGTTCTCCCAGCAACTCTCTCTACTTCTGAGTTCCTGCAACTCTCTTATTCTTGGTTCTAGCAAATCTCTTACTTCCCGAGTTCTCCCGCAAACTCTCTCTACTTCCTGAGTTTTGAACTCTCTTATTCCTGAGTTCTCCCAGAATCTTTACTTCCCGAGTTCTCCCAGCAACTCTCTCTACTTCCTGAGTTTCCCAGCAACTTCTCTACTTCCTGAGTTCTCCAGCAACTCCTTCTTTTGAGTTCTCCTAGCAACTCTCTTACTTCCTGAGTTCTCCTAGCAACTCTCACTTCCTGAGTTCTCAAAAATCTTCTACTTCTGAGTTCCAGCAACTCTCTTCTTCCCGAGTTCTCCCAGCAACTCTTTTACTTCCCGGTTTCCCGCAACTCTCTTATTCCTGGTTTTTCCAGCAACCTCTTACTTCCTGAGTTTCTAGAAAAACTCTTACTTCCTGAGTTCTCCCGCAACTCTTCTACTTTTGAGTTCTCCTAGCAACTCTTCTACTTTCCCGAGTTTCCCGAAATCTCTCTACTTCCTGAGTTCTCTAGCAACTCCTCATTCTTGAGTTCTCCTAGCAACTCTCTCTACTTCTTGAGTTTTTCCTAGTAAATTCTTACTTTTTGGTTCTCCTGCAATCTTCTACTTCCCGGTTCTCCTAGCAACTCTCTCTACTTCCCGAGTTTCCCAGCAACTCTCTCTCTTCCTGAGTTCTTAGCAACTTCTTACTTTCCCGAGTTTCCCGAAATCTTTACTTCTGAGTTTCCCGCAACTCTCTCTACTTCCCGAGTTCTCCCAGAATCTCTTATTTCCCGAGTTTTCCCCAGAACTCTCTCTACTTCCCGGTTCTCTAGCAACTCTCTTATTCCCGAGTTCTTAGCAACTCTCTTCTTCGGTTTCCCAGCCTCTCTCTACTTCTGAGTTCTCCTAGCAACCTCTTACTTCTTTGGGTTTCCCAGAAAACTTCTACTTCCCGAGTTCTCCCAGCAACTCTCCTACTTTGAGTTCTCCTAGCAACCTCTTCTTCCGGGGTTTTCCTAGCAACTCTCTCTTTCCCCAGTTTCCCAGCAAATCTTTTTTATTCCCGATTTTTCCCGCAACTCTCTTACTTCTTTTTTTCTCCCAGCAACTTCTCTACTTCCTGAGTTCTCCCAGCAATCTCTCTACTTCCCGGTTTCCAGCAACTCTCTCTACTTCTTTAGTTCTTAGCAAAAATCTCTTCTTCCTGAGTTCTCCCAGCAACTTCTTACTTCCCGAGTTCTCTAGCAACTTCTTACTTCCTGGTTCTCCTAGCAAATCTCTTATTTCCCGGTTCTCCCAGCAACTTTTTCTACTTCCTGAGTTCTCCCAGAAAAACCCCTTACTTCCTGAGTTCTCCCAGCAACTCTTTACTTTCCCGAGTTTCCTGCAACTCTCTCTATTTTGGTTCTCCTGAACTCTCTCTTTCCCGGTTCTCCCACAACTCTCTTACTTCCCGAGTTTCCTAGCAAATTCTCTATTCCGGTTTCCCGAATCTCTCTTTCCCGAGTTTCCCAGCAAAACTTCTCTTCCCGAGTTCTCCTAGAACTCTCTTACTTCCGAGTTTCCTGCAATCTTCTTCTTCCCGAGTTCTCCTGGCAAACCCCTTACTTCCTGGTTCTCCCAGCAATCGCTCTACTTCCGAGCTCCCAGCAACTCTCTTTACTTTTGGTTTTCCTGCAATTCTCTACTTCCAGTTTTCTGCAAATCTTCTACTTCCTGAGTTCCCTGCAACTCTCTTACTTCTTGAGTTCTCTAGCAACTCTCTCTATTCCGAGTTTCCCGCAACTCTCTTACTTCTTGAGTTCTCCCCAGCAACTCTCTCTACTTCCTGAGTTCTCCCAGAAAATCTCTTATTCCTGAGTTCTCCTAGCAATCTTAACAACCTATCGTGACTTATGACCTCTTTTTAAATCTGATGACCTGTACTAATCTTTGATAATTCTTATGATCTGTGGGTTTTTTTATCTTGTGTTCATTTATCTCTGTGGGCTCTCTTTATCTCTGATGGTCTTCTTTATCTTGATGGTCCTTTTTTTCTCTGAGTCTCTCTTTATCTTGATGGTCTCTTTTATCTCTGATGCACTTTATTCTGTGGTCCCTTTACTTGATGGTCTTCTTTATCTTGTGGCTTTTCTTATCCTGATGGTCTTCTTTTTCTGTGTCTTCTTTATCTTAAAGGTCTCTCTATTTTGATGGTCTCTCTTTTATCTCTGATGGTTCTCATTAAATTTTGATGATCTTCTTTGTTCGAGGGTTTTTTCTTTATTTTTGATGGGCTTCTTTATCTTGTGTCTATCTTTATCTCTGATGGTCTCTCTTATCTTATGTCTCTCTTTATCTTGATGGTCTTCTTTTTTTTGATGGTCTCTCTTTATCTCTGATGGTCTCTCTTTTTCTTGATGGTCTCTCTTTATCTCTGATGGTCTCTCTTTATCTCTGATGGCCTCTCTTTATCGCTGATGGCCTATCTTTATCTCTGATGGTCTCTCTTTATCTCTGAGGTCTCTCTTTATCTCTGATGGTCTCTCTTTATCTCTAATGGTCTCTCTATTTCTGATGGTCTCTCTTTATCTCTGATGGTCTCTCATCAATTCTGATGATCTCTCTTTATCTCTGATGGGCTCTCTTTATCTATGATGTCTATCTTTATCTCTGATGGTCTCTCTTTATCTCTGATGTCTCTCTTTATCTCTGATGGTCTCTCTTTATTTCTGATGGTCTCTCTTTATCTCTGATGGTCTCTCTTTATTTCTGATGGTCTCTCTTTATCTCTGATGGTCTCTCTTTATCTCTGATGGTCTCTCTTTATCTCTGATGGCCTCTCTTTATCTCTGATGGCCTATCTTTATCTCTGATGGTCTCTCTTTATCTCCGATTGTCTCTCTATATCTCTGATGGTCTCTGACTCTGATGATCTTTGTTGAACTCGCTTGACCTATCATGATCTCTGACTTATTTTGACCTCTGATAAACTCATGACGTCTGATGACCTATCTTGTTCTCTGATGATCTGTCTTGATCTCTGACGACCTCTCGGCCTCAAATGACCTCTCGGCCTCTGATGACCTCTCGACCTCTGATGACCTCTCGACCTCTGATGACCTCTCGACCTCTGATGACCTCTCGACCTCTGATGACCTCTCGACCTCTGATGACCTCTCGACCTCTGATGACCTCTCAGCCTCTGATGACCTCTCGGCCTCTGATGACCTCTCGACCTCTGATGACCTCTCGGCCTCTGATGACCTCTCGACCTCTGATGACCTCTCGACCTCTGATGACCTCTCGACCTCTGATGACCTCTCGACCTCTGATGACCTCTAGATATCTGATAAGTCGTGATCTCTGATGGCATCTCTTGAACTATGATGAAATTTCCTTACTTATGATGACCTTTCTTGTCTTGTAATGACCTCTAATGACCTGTCATTATATCTGACTACATATGTTGCATTTTAATAATCCTTCTCTTGCTCTTCGATGGCCTCTCCTTACCCATATTGACCTCTTAAGACCTTTTGACCTCTGTTGACCTCTTCTGACTTTGGTTACCTCTTTTAACCTCTGATAAGGTTCATTGACCTCTGATGCTGACCTCTGGTGTTGACAGGAGCTGAGGTTACTCAACCTGGCAGGCAACATGCTGCGTCACGTGACCGGCCTCCGAGGTATGGACTGCCTGGTGGAGCTCAACCTCCGAAGGAACCTCATCCGCACAGCCTCCGACCTCCACTACCTCCCGCGCCTCGAGAAGCTCTTCATGGGTTATAATGAAATATACAGGTGAGTCACTCTCACTTACTGACGGCGTTTTGAGCCTATATTGCAAATTAAACTAATTAATATTGTTCCTCGAGCCTGCTAACCCCGCATAGGTAGGTGGAAGACTAAGTGTTCCCAGAAGTGAGTGACTGCACCATCATTGTTCCCAGAAGTGAGTGACTGCACTATCATTGTTCCCAGAAGTGAGTGACTGCACCATCATTGTTCCCAGAAGTGAGTGACTGCACCATCATTGTTCCCAGAAGTGAGTGACTGCACCATCATTGTTCCCAGAAGTGAGTGACTGCACCATCATTGTTCCCAGAAGTGAGTGACTGCACTATCATTGTTCCCAGAAGTGAGTGACTGCACACCATCATTGTTCCCAGAAGTGAGTGACTGCACCATCATTGTTCCCAGAAGTGAGTGACTGCACCATCATTGTTCCCAGAAGTGAGTGACTGCACCATCATTGTTCCCAGAAGTGAGTGACTGCACTATCATTGTTCCCAGAAGTGAGTGACTGCACCATCATTGTTCCCAGAAGTGAGTGACTGCACCATCATTGTTCCCAGAAGTGAGTGACTGCACCATCATTGTTCCAAGAAGGGAGTGACCGCACCATCATTGTTCCCAGAAGTGAGTGACTGCACTATCATTGTTCCCAGAAGTGAGTGACTGCACTATCATTGTTCCCAGAAGTGAGTGACTGCACCATCATTGTTCCCAGAAGTGAGTGACTGCACCATCATTGTTCCCAGAAGTGAGTGACTGCACCATCATTGTTCCCAGAAGTGAGTGACTGCACCATCATTGTTCCCAGAAGTGAGTGACTGCACTATCATTGTTCCCAGAAGTGAGTGACTGCACCATCATTGTTCCCAGAAGTGAGTGACTGCACCATCATTGTTCCCAGAAGTGAGTGACTGCACCATCATTGTTCCAAGAAGGGAGTGACCGCACCATCATTGTTCCCAGAAGTGAGTGACTGCACCATCATTGTTCCCAGAAGTGAGTGACTGCGCCATCATTGTTCCCAGAAGTGAGTGACTGCACCATCATTGTTCCCAGAAGTGAGTGACTGCACCATCATTGTTCCCAGAAGTGAGTGACTGCACCATCATTGTTCCCAGAAGTGAGTGACTGCACCATAAGTGTTCCCAAAAATGAGTGATTACCTTATCAGTATCATCAGTAGAAAGTATTTGCCCCACTAATGTTCTCAGAAGTGATTGACATCTCTATCACTGCCTCTAGAATTAACTGTTCGCCCCACCAATGCCTTCAAAAGTCAATGACGGCCCTTCAGTTCCTCTAGAAGTGAGTGTACCATCAGAGTCCTCAAGAGTGAGTGATTTTCCCCGTCAGTGCCCCTGACAGTGTTTTCTCCGTCAATTTCTAATAGAATTGAATGATTACCTTATTATTGTCTCCAGAAGATGGTGATGTTTCCTACCAATGTTCCCAGAAGTGAATAATGGCCCAGTAACTGTTTCCAGAAGTAAGTATTCCATGAATGTTCCCAGAAGTGAGTCTTTACACCATTAACGTCCCCAAAAAGTGATTTATTGCAACTTCATTGTCTCCAATAATTAGTGACTGCATTGTTAAACCTCTTAAGACGTGAGTAAATTCCTCATCAGTATGACCCATTTGTTAGGGATTGCCCCATCCATGCCCCTTTAGAAGTGAGTGGCTGACCCATCATTTGCCCCCAGAAATGAACTATTGCCACCACAGGTTAATTATTGAACTATCATTGCCCCCAGTAGTGAGTAATTTCTTCATCTACGTAACTAGAAGTGAGTGATTGCATCCTTAATTCTCTAGGAGAGAGGATTGTAACATCACTGCCCCCAGGTGAGTACTGACATCATTAATATACCCAGAAGTTAGTGACTAATCCTTTAATGTCTCGCAGGTTAAAACTATGACCTGAAGGATAAGTTTAGATCCTGCTAAATAAAATAGTTTGAAGAATAAGGTAAGTTCATGATGTATAAAATAATGCTTCAGGAATGCAGGATACGATTAGGTTCTGAAAGATAGGCTTAGATTCCACAGAGTCAAACTAGAACTTGAAGGAAGACTACTTTATCAATGTCCTCAGAAGTTAGTGTTTGAAAAAATCATTGTTCTCATCAATGTCCTTAGATATTGATGATTGTCCATCATTGCCTCAGAAGGGAGTGACTGACTTATCATGTGAATTACTGGACTATCAGTGTCTCCAGTAGTGATCATACCATCAGTGCCCCCAGAAGTGATCATACCATCAGTGCCCCCAGAAGTGACCACATCATCAGTGCCCCCAGAAGTGACCACATCATCAGTGCCCCCAGAAGTGACCACACCATCAGTGCCCAAAAGGATCACCCCCCATCAGTGCCCCAAAGTGACCACACCATCAGTGCCCCCAAAAGTGATCACACCATCAGTGCCCCCAGAAGTGATCACACCATCAGTGCCCCCAAAAGTGAACACACCTCAGTGCCCCAGAAGTGACCAACCATCAGGCCCCCAAAAGTGATCAACCCCAGTTGGGCCCCCCGAAGTGATACACCATCAGTGCCCCCAAAGTGATCACACCATCAGTGCCCCAGAAGTGATCACATCATCAGTGCCCCCAGAAGTGATACACCCATCAGTGCCCCCCAATGACCACACCATCATGCCCCCAAAAGTGATCACACCCTCAGTGCCCCCAGAAGTGACCCCCACCATCGTGCCCCCAAAAGTGATCACACCATCAGTGCCCCCAGAAGTGACCAACCCTCAGTGCCCCAGAAGTGACCACTTCATCAGTGCCCCAGAAGTGACCACACCATCAGTGCCCCCAAAAGTGATAAAACCATCAGTGCCCCCAGAAGGGACCACACCATCAGTGCCCCCAGAAGTGACCACACCATCAGTGCCCCCAGAAGTGATTCACACCATCAGTGCCCCAAAAGTGACCACACCATCAGTGCCCCAGAAGTGATCACACCATCAGTCCCCCCAAAAGTGACCACACCATCAGTGCCCCAGAAGGATCACACTATCAGTGCCCCCAAAAGTGCCCACACCATCAGTCCCCCCAGAAGTGACACACATCATGCCCCAAAAAGGCCCACACCATCAGTGCCCCAAAATTTGACACACCATCAGTCCCCCCAAAAGTGCCCACACCATCATCCCCCCCCAGAAGTGATCACATATCAGTGCCCCCAGAAGTGATCACATCATCAGTGCCCCCAGAAGTGATCACATCATCAGTGCCCCAGAAGTGACACCCATCAGTGCCCCCGAAGTGACCAATCATCTGCCCCCAGAGTGATCACATCATCAGTGCCCCAAAAGGACCCACAATCAGTGCCCCAGAAGTGATCACATCATCAGTGCCCCAGAAGTGATCACCCCATCAGTGCCCCAGAGGGGACCACACCATCAGTGCCCCAGAAGTGACCACATCATCAGTGCCCCCAGAGTGATCAAAATATCAGTTGCCCCAGAAGTGATCACACCATCAGTGCCCCAGAGTGACCACACCATCAGTGCCCCCAGAAGTGACCACATCATCAGTGCCCCCAGAAGTGATCACATCATCAGTGCCCCCAGAAGTGATCACATCATCAGTGCCCCCAGAAGTGATCACACCATCAGTGCCCCCAGAAGTGACCACATCATCAGTGCCCCCAGAAGTGACCACATCATCAGTGCCCCCAGAAGTGACCACACCATCAGTGCCCCAAAAAGTGATCACACCATCAGTGCCCCCAGAAGTGACCACACCATCAGTGCCCCCAAAAGTGATCACACCATCAGTGCCCCCAGAAGTGACCACACCATCAGTGCCCCCAGAAGTGACCACATCATCAGTGCCCCCAGAAGTGACCACACCACCAGTGCCCCCAAAAGTGATCACACCATCAGTGCCCCCAGAAGTGATCACACCATCAGTGCCCCCAGAAGTGATCACATCATCAGTGCCCCCAAAAGTGATCACACCATCAGTGCCCAGAAGTGATCCACCATCAGTGCCCCCAAAAGTGCCCACACCATCATTTGCCCCCAGAAGTGATCACACCATCAGTGCCCCCAGAAGTGACCACACCATCAGTGCCCCCAAAAGTGACCACACCATCAGTGCCCCCAGAAGTGATCACACCATCAGTGCCCCCAAAAGTGACCACACCATCAGTGCCCCCAGAAGTGATCACATCATCAGTGCCCCCAGAAGTGATCACACCATCAGTGCCCCCAGAAGTGACCACATCATCAGTGCCCCCAGAAGTGATCACATCATCAGTGCCCCCAGAAGTGACCACATCATCAGTGCCCCCAGAAGTGATCACATCATCAGTGCCCCCAGAAGTGATCACACCATCAGTGCCCCCAGAAGTGACCACACCATCAGTGCCCCCAAAAGTGACCACATCATCAGTGCCCCCGAAGTGATAACATCATCAGTCCCCCCAGAAGTGATACATCATCAGTGCCCCAAATTTGTCACATCACCCAGTGCCCCCAAAAGTGTCACATCACAGTGCCCCAAGAAGTGATCACATCATCAGTGCCCCTAGAAGTGATCACACCATCAGTGCCCCCAGAAGTGATCACACCATCAGTGCCCCCAGAAGTGATCACATCATCAGTGCCCCCAGAAGTGATCACATCATCAGTGCCCCAGAAGTGATCACATCATAGGGGCCCCCAGAAGTGATCACATCATCAGTGCCCCCAGATGTGATCACATCATCAGTGCCCCCAGAAGTGATCACATCATCAGTGCCCCAAGAAGTGATCACATCATCAGTGCCCCCAGAAGTGATCACACCATCAGTGCCCCCAGAAGTGATCACTCATCAGTGCCCCAAAGTGATCACATCATCATTGCCCCCAAAGTGATCAATCATCAGTGCCCAGAAGTGATCACATCATCAGTGCCCCAAGAAGTGATCACATCATCAGTGCCCCCAGAAGTGATCACACCATCAGTGCCCCCAGAAGTGATCACACCATCAGTGCCCCCAGAAGTGATCACATCATCAGTCCCCCCAAAAGGTCACATCATCAGTGCCCCAGAAGTGATCCATCATCAGTGCCCCCAAAAGTGATCACATCATCAGTGCCCCCAGATGTGATCAACCCATCATGCCCCAGAAGTGATCACATCTTCAGTGCCCAAAAAGTGATCACATCATCAGTGCCCCCAGAAGTGATCACACCATCAGTGCCCCCAGAAGTGATCACATCATCAGTGCCCCGAGAAGTGATCACATCATCAGTGCCCCCAGAAGTGATCACATCATCAGTGCCCCCAGAAGTGTCCCATCAGTGCCTCCAAAAGTGATCACATCATCAGTGCCAAAATTTGATCACATCATCAGTGCCCCAAAAAGTGATCACACCTCAGTCCCCCCAGAAGTGATCACATCATCAGTGCCCCCATAATTGATCACATCATCAGTGCCCCCAGAAGTGATCACACCATCAGTGCCCCCAGAAGTGACCACACCATCAGTGCCCCCAGAAGTGATCACATCATCAGTGCCCCCAAAAAAGTGATCACACCATCAGTGCCCCAGAATGATCACACATCAGTGCCCCAAAGTGATCACATCATCAGTGCCCCCAGAAGTGATCACATCATCAATGCCCCCAGAAGTGATCACATCATCAGTGCCCCCAGAAGTGATCCACCCATCAGTGCCCCAAAATGATCACACACATCAGTGCCCCAGAAGTGATCACATCATCAGTGCCCCAGAAGTGATCACATCACAGTGCCCCCAAAAGTGATCACATCATCAGTGCCCCCAGAAGTGATCACACCATCAGTGCCCCCAGAAGTGATCACACCATCAGTGCCCCCAGAAGTGATCACATCATCAGTGCCCCCAGAAGTGATCACATCATCAGTGCCCCCATAAAGTGTTTCACATCATCAGTGCCCCCAGAAGTGATCACTCATCAGTGCCCCCAGAAGTGACCCATCATCAGTGCCCCCCAGAAGTGATCACCCCATCAGGCCCTCAGAAGTGATCACATCATCAGTCCCCCCCAGAAGTGATCACTATTCAACGTGCCCCAGAAGTGATCACACCATCAGTGCCCCCAGAAGTGATCACATCATCAGTGCCCCCAGAAGTGATCACACCATCAGTGCCCCCAGAAGTGATCACATCATCAGTGCCCCCAGAAGTGATCACATCATCAGTGCCCCCAAAAGTAAATCACAATATCGTCCCCAGAAGTGATCACATAAATCAGTGCCCCCAGAAGTGATCACATCATCAGTGCCCCCCAGAAGTGATCACATCATCAGTGCCCCCAGAAGTGATCACACCATCAGTGCCCCCAGAAGTGATCACATCATCAGTGCCCCCAGAAGTGATCCCATCATCAGTGCCCCCAGAAGTGATCACATCATCAGTGCCCCCAGAAATGATCACACCATCAGTGCCCCCAGAAGTGATCACATTTTCGTAAGGGTTCTTAAATGGAGATATCGTAGGTTGAAGGTAGACACACTTGTTGGATGGTAACTTATATTGTCAGTCTGAGATGGTGAGGGATGGAGCCCGCCGCCTTGCCTGTCTGCTGAATGGTCTGCCGCCGAGTGAGAGCGGGGCAGAGGTATGAGCCTACACATGTGCATCCCGTGACATCACACAAAGCCACAGGCCTACAAGGGATCTCGTATCTAAAGTACATGGATGATACTAATATGCTATGCTATAAAAATACGGGGAAATACAGGGATCAGCAACTTTTGCGACAGCTCGGTCATGTTACGTATGTCGTTCCGACATACACTACTATACTAAGGTGAACAGGTAGGCGGATCTGGGCTGATTCTATACAATAACAAATTCATATATAACTTAGAACTATGGTGGTACAACATGATTTTGACGTAATGGGGTTAACGTAATGAGTTTAACGTAATGCATTACAAACTATAAGAAAAATCATTGTCAATATGGGTGGAATGATCGATCGATCTGTATTCATGCACTCTAAAGGATTTGAGGAAGAAAAAATATATTTTATATACAAGGTGAATTAACAGCAAAGGCATCTGGTGCGCAGTCAGATCATTACTGTCAAATTCTCAGAAAACGGAGGGAACGTGAACACGAAATTTCTGACAAACTGATCAGCTAATAACAAAACACACAGTTGATAATTTTATTCATCTCGGACATCTAATTATACAGGCGTTTCACTTAAACCCAATTCTGCGAGGGTAAGGTTTCCGTAAAGCAGAATGGTTATCAATCCTGGGGGATCGAATTCCTCTGCAATGCTAACACAATGCCTTGATGAGGACAGTCTAACGAGTACTACAAAAGATACAGCTACAATCACTAGTGACTGTGGAATTACTAATTTGTCTGCTAGGAATAAATCAACTCAACTATTCGATACAGTAATTCTTGGCTCATTACAAAGTCCTAATGGGTGCTGGTGGCTTCCCCAGTAAGAATAAGGTCTTCCTGGAGCCGGAATCGAATCACACCCGAACACAAGGGATCGTTTTTTTCTTATGGAGAATGAAAAACTCGGTGGAGTGGATGACTCCCCCCGGTTGAAAAAAATTACGCTATAACACGCAATAGAGCAAGGGAGAACGAATCACTATCTCAAACTACAAGCACAGGAGAAAATAAATGAACAAAGTCAACAAGCCGATATTCCCAATCTGAGTCGCACACAGTGACACGAGGTTTTCAGCTATAAAGAAACTACATTACAAACGTTACATGTTTAAAGTTAACGAGAAATAACTTCTTACAATGCACTGATTACTGTAACTAGGATGGGATCACCATCTTAAACACAAGGAACAACAACAGACACCTAGTGAGAACACTAGCTGTAACAGAGACTCTTTCTGCAGACGCATGTCACATCAACAAGAGATGGCATTACTAGTTGCAAGTATTCGTTTTCTGCAAAGGCATCCCTGTGGAGAAACTACTACTCGAACTAGCAGTCATTGCAGGGATAGGCGTGCACTCAAGGCAGTCCTGAGTGTCCTCGGACACTTTAGGCAACGGAACACTATCCTGCAAGTCTGAAGGTGTAGGTGGAACACAGATGGGAGTGACAGAATTACTAGTGCCTGACCGCTCGGCTCGTTAATAAGTAATTCACGGATCTATAGGAACTTAATCTGAACTTCACATTTCGCAGCAATTAATAAATTCTCAGATACAAGCTGTGAGAACAAACAATTGCTCAAGGGCTAGATATTGTCTTTCAGTCATAAGGGAATGTTTGGTACTGTGGACTGATTCATATTGACTTTTACTGGCATGATACACTAAGTGAACGTTCAAAAGTGACAGGGACATCTTCCAGTGAACTTACTCAAGTGCATAAGACAAGAAAATAGAGAGAAATACAATAAACTTAAGTGGAAGAAAATGCTTTAACAATTCTGCATAAGTAATTAAAAATAGACAGGTCACACAGTAAGCAAAGAACTCACACAAGAAAAATATTCAACTTAACAAACACTGAAAATCAAGAGAACTTGTAATTTGCTCAAATCTAATTTGTTAAACTTTTACTTTAAATTGAAAGAATGGCACAGTGAGTTGTCTTTACTTTCAATGCAACAAGGAAATACACAATAAAATGATAAAATGGACTCAATAAACTTGTGCAAAAATAAAAACAGAGACACAATTCACTGAAATAAAATAAAATGACACAGACAGAATAAAATATTATGCACAGAACAGAGCATAAGAAACTGCACTGAAATAAACTGTTGCAATAATGCAAATAATTGCTAATCAAAAAAGTATTGCACAACACTGCATAAAATTTCTGCAAGAAAAACTTTAGTAGCAACACAATATTTGCACAAGAATTATTGCAAAATGAGTCAATTTGTTTCAATACCGCAGGTACTAATTGAACCCAGATCTTCTCACTCATATATTTGTCTATCTCATTTTAAAGCTACCCAAGGTTTAGCTTCTATTACCATACCAGTATTTACCTACGCACTTTCTAAATCTAAATTTATCTAATTTAAAACAGTTATTTCTGGTTCTTACTTGACCTGATGTCCTCAGTACTTTGTTTTATACACCTTTGTTTATGTCCATCATCCACTTATATACTACAATGAAGTCTCCTCCCATTCAGCGTCTCTCAAGAGACTGAAGGTTCACACTTCATAATCTGTCCTCACATGAGACAGTTCTTATACAATGGATTATTTTTCTCAACGTTTTCTGTATGTTCTCCAATGGATTTTATTCATTGTGTGATGTGGCGACCAAAACTGAGCTGCATAATCTAAGTGAGGCATTACTAGTGATGTATAGAACTCTGTTCCCTATATGAGAGTAATTCCGCCGCTCTTCCCTCCACAGATACGAGGACATTTCGTGCCTTCAGAACTGCTTGAAGCTGCGGGAGTTATCACTGGAGGAGAACCCTTTAAGCCGTCAACCCCACTATTTCCACCAAGCTGTTACTAGATATTACAGGCTCAAGAGGTGAGAGAGAGAGAGAGAGAGAGAGAGAGAGAGAGAGAGAGAGAGAGAGAGAGAGAGAGAGAGAGAGAGAGAGAGAGAGAGAGAGAGAGAGATGAAAGCTTTGTAGATTTGCTTACTCAAGTCTCAGATTGCTCCTTCGGTTCTGTTGCGAGTGATTTACTCTAAGGTTCAGTCATTTGCAAGCTTCTTAGTTATGTTGGCTTATCTGATCACAAGGCTGTCCTTACAACAATGAAAGTACAGTAAACCGATGCCAGGAATCATCTCTTACAACCTGTCTGTGAGAGAAAGGAAATTGGCCGCCCCTCTGTCGGATCTTGACAACTCCGAATGGACTGTTATTTTTTTTTAATTTTGATGTTAATAACCAAGTAAACGCCGTCACTCAGCATATATTTCATCTCCAACATAAGTAAATCATCCCCGCTTCCCCCCCGGAAACGTAAAGAAGCCTGCAAATCAGCCTTGGTTTGGCTATCGTTACTGGATGAAAATTATTTCTGAGTACAAGGCTGGGAGAAAGTACAGTGGGCATCCTACTACCCATAATGGAACCTCCACAGGCAAGCCCGTCGGCAGATGAAGAAAGTCTAAAACTTTGCCATCTCGAGAAGAGAAGCTGTCACAAAAAGAATTTGCCATTAGGAAGAATGTGCTCCAGAACATGGTGGTCTTTGGTCAAGGACCGATATGGATATTCACCTGATGACACTTTTCCTGTTCTCAGTCGACAGGATTGAGACTGATCTTGCTGAACATGTTGTTGCCAAGATGGAAATCCCTCATTCCGTTAGAGAACCTCTATTGCTAGTCGATAGTACTGTACCAGTGTTGTCGGATGTGACAATAAGAGAGTATAAGATATATCTTCATAAATCTTTGGACCGAGTAAAAACCTGTGGGGCCAAGATAAGGTGAACCCTACATTATTGAGAGGAGGTGCTGACCAGCTAGCAATACCCCTCACTCTCATATATCAACTCTGCCTGACACATGGTAAGTGGCCTTCTTAATGGAATGAGGCAAATGTAGTCTGTATTCACAAACAGCAAAAAACTGTAATAATCAGCAACTTCAGACCAGCGTCACATTTGTCAGTTACTGGAAAATTCCTGAGACATAAATATCACGGTGTATGACAGCATTTTTTGACTATCATTCGCTTCTTTGTGACCATCAATATGGATTTAGAAAAGGTCACTCTACAGCTGATCTCCTGTTAAACCTCTCTAGTATGTGGCTCCAGTCATTTGATGATTCCCTGATCAGTTGGGGTCTTTGCCGAGTATGGCACCAGGGACACCTGGCAAAACTGGAGGCACTTGGAGTCTCTGGCTTTGCGCAACACCTCCTTAGTGATTACCTTAAAGATAGATCTATTTAAGTAGTTCTCAACGAAGCAGAGTCTACAAGTCGGTACCAGTGTTCCACAAAAAATTGTACTTGGCCCATTGCTATGGAACATCTACCTAATTGGAAAAAGAACAAAAAGGAGCAATACCGTGACTGGAACAATACACAAATAACCCACACGCAGAAGTAATGACGTCTTCATAACTTAATTTCTCAAAGGTGCGAGTTATTTTTGTATTCTACTTAACTGACCTTCTTCACCTCATCACAAAATCCCATACTATGCAGTCTGCACTCAGACATTTACTTACACAAGAGAGGAGGTACATACTGCTCTCACACATATTAATCACCAGCTTATGACTATATCAACCTGGGGAAAACGATGGTTGGTTACATTTGATGAGAAAACATCACTTCTCTAGACAGCATAATGTTAGTAATGGAACTATGTTAATAATGAATGAAATTGTGTTTGAGCCGGGGATGAAATGGATATCGTAAGTGTGATATTTTATTCCAAAATCATTACGAAGAATTATGTGGTAAATCCTGAAAGCAAAATAGCCAAGAAATAAACAGAAGTAAGGTGTATTTCCCACCTTGACAGCAGAGGCTGCACAACTCTATACGAGGCACAATTGAGCTATCACCTTCAAATACGATCAAATTTCTGGGATTGCCTGACCATCATCTCATCTGCGACTTTTAGACAGGTAACTTATGTCTCATGTGGATCCAGTTTCGTTCGATGTGTCATCTCAAGATTGCACTCAACATCAAAAAGATATAGGTGACTTTGCTGCTATGTTCAAAACTATTGTTATCAAAATACCCCATCTTACTTCACTTCACGGTGAGAGTACAGCTTTCATTCCACATGGAGGGCAAAAAACAGTACCCACAGTCTGGCTGTACTCTGTTTAAGAAATTCAGTTCATCTATAATCATTCCTTCCTAGAATGGCTCAAGTTTAGGATATGTTCGTACAGCAGTCAAACATTAATGCTGGAATCACAGAACCAAATGAAATCTGTGATCCATAGCTGGTTACTGCTTCATCTTCTTCCTTATTTGTTGTCTCATAAAGAGTTTCTTTTGCATATGCTCTATTTGTTGCGTTAATAAATCGCATCTGCTAGAGATGAAGATTTAATTTTCTCATTTTGGTATATATTTTTTAAGAACAGTCTATTTTTATTTAAATTTGCCCCTTAATTTTATGGGCTATTGTACTTTCAATTACCTTCCCCACAGTACTCAAAATAGCAAGGGTCACCCCGATCCACAAAGGAGGAGACCAAACAGAGTTGAATAACTATAGGCCAATATCCAACTTACACCCTCTCTCAAAAATCTTCGAAAAATTAATTCATAAACGAATCTACTCCTACCTTATCTCCCAAAACATACTCAACCCCTGCCAATTTGGATTCAGGCCAAATAAAAATACTAATGATGCTATTATACACATGCTAGAACATATATACACTGCAATAGAGAAAAAAGAAGTCCCACTGGGGATCTTCATTGACTTACGTAAAGCTTTTGATACAGTTAACCATGACTTGCTCCACGTAAAATTGTCACACTATGGTATAAGAGGGCACTCCCTCAACTACCTCAAGTCATACCTCAGCAACAGAAGCCAATATGTGTATGCAAATGGGGCAAACTCTTCTGCACAACCAATTACAGTTGGTGTCCCACAGGGAAGTGTCCTTGGCCCTCTTCTCTTTCTCCTATACATAAATGACCTACCAAACGCTTCGCAATTACTCAAACCCACACTATTTGCAGATGACACTACATACGTCTTCTCCCACCCGAGCCCAGTCACGCTAGCCAATACTGTAAATACAGAATTACAGAAAATATCTACCTGGATGAGGACTAACAAACTTACACTAAACATTGACAAAACCTACTTCATTCAGTTTGGTAACAGAGCTACAGATGTCCCTCTTAACATAATGATAAACGGATCACCTATCACAAAGCTAACAGAGGGAAAATTCTTAGGAATCCACCTTGATAATAGACTCAAATTTCATACACATATACAACAAATTTCTAAGAAAATTTCCAAGACTGTAGGCATACTATCGAAGATACGGTACTATGCTCCACAGTCAGCCCTCCTGGCCCTATATCACTCTCTTATTTACCCCTATCTCACCTATGGAATTTGTGCATGGGGCTCAACAACAAGTAACCATCTCAGACCACTAATTACCCAACAAAAGGCTGCAGTTAGAATGATAACAAATTCTCACTATAGGCAGCACACTCCACCAATATTCAATACACTAAACCTATTCACCATACAAAACATTCATACTTATTACTGCACCTATTACATACATAGAACACTTAACTCTGATATTAACCCTCCCCTCAAACATCTCCTTGCCAACCTCAACAGAACGCATGACCATAACACAAGGCACAGATCACTCTTTGATGTTCCTCGTGTCCATCTCACACTTTGCAAAAACTCAATGCACATAAAAGGCCCTAAAATCTGGAACTCATTACCTGTAAATATAAAAGAAACACTACCTGTTTATAAATTCAAGTCTCTTCTCAAAGATCACTTACTCACCCAAAACCAAATAAATACTGAATAACTGAACCTTATAAATTGTATATCTTAAATGTTTCTCACAATTATATCACATAAATGTTAAACCTAAAACCCAATCTAACTTTATTATTTTTTAAATACACTACCTAACAGAATACTCCATTCTACTGAATGTACAACAATGCATACAACCATATGACCTGTCTTTGTAATACTCACTTGTGCTTTATAGTAATCTGTTTACATTAAAGTTTTATCACCGATGTCATCATTGCTTAGTTCATCTTAAGTTAATTTTAAGCCAGCCCGTAATGCTATGCATAGTATAAGTGGCTTTGGCATACTGCTCTTTTCTGTATTTTTTGTACCTCTGTATGTGTGCACAAATTTTTAAATAAATAAATAAATAAATAAATAAAAGGTATATATTCCTTACTGGAAGAAATTTTATTGTTTTTCTGCTACGTAATAAGTATAGTGCTTGATGGCTACATACATGATGCATATAGCTGGTCAATAAAGCTGTGTAAAGAGAGAGAGAGAGAGAGAGAGAGAGAGAGAGAGAGAGAGCATGTGTGGTCAATACCCCTGTTACCAACTCCTAGTAATTCAACAGCGTCACCCTCATTACACATGGCTACACACGCACATCAATTCCCATCAACTCAACTCGCCCTGCAACTAACCTCACATCAACTATATCTACTTAAAACCATAATTACACAATAAATAAATGAAATAAGAGCTAAATAGGTTGTCATATGTCTTTCAAAATCAATACCCAGGTACCTGTTTACAAATAGGTGAGCAGAGGAGACAGGTGAAAGGAAACTTATCCATTCGTCGAAGCCTGTCATGGATGCCACCCACAGCAGTCAACTACCTCCCAGGTACCTATTTACCGCTAAGATAATTGACCACATGACTCACCCTGCACTGGATGACACTAACACACGGGTACCTATTTACAGCTGGGTAAATAGGGCCAACAGGTGTAAGTATGTCACATATAACAGTCAACTAACACTAAGGTACCTATTTATATTGCTAGGTGAACAAG